TTTTTTTTTTTTTTTTTTTTTTTTTTTTTCGTTACTCGGGGGTGTATACTCGCTCAAGTGACTTGCGGGAGAAAACAGAGGTGTGTGTAGCTACTTTGTCAAATCTCCGATCTCCGTGCCGTGTTCCGAACGAACACACAGGACTGGGGACTTGGTAAAATCCGGCAAAATTTTTCGCTATATTATCGCTACGTATAGTCTTCTTCGTCCTCTTCGTATTATTAGCAGCTTTACTAAGCCCCACAGTCGAGGGTATCTTCGAGCCAAGATCAACGAGACGACTCCACGAATTCGTTTTCTTTTCTGCAACTTTCCAACAACACGAGTGATTACGATATACAGGTCTCTATATGGTATATTTACTCGAAACTGACCGCGCGCGCCCGGACGGCAATGAAAGCACCCCGTGTGTATCGCTGGCTCGACGACACCCCCGCGCAGAGATTTGAACACTAAGAACTGTACACGACGAAAGTGCAAAGTGCTCCTCGCTATCAGAAAGGTTTTTCACGTGGGCAATCGTCGAAAGCATTCGTTCAAACGGCACTTCGAGTTTCGTCGGCTAAACAATCGGGCAGAGGGATGATATGGTTAAAAAGGGGGCGGGGGGCGGGCAGCATATCGTCAACGAGTGGCAGCAGTGCGTCTCGAAAGTGTCGAAATACAATCGGTGAGAGGATGGCAAAACGTAACAACTGAACCAGAGTGACGGGGTACACCGTACGTAATACGATTAAAGAATAAAATAAAAATAAAAAATGGCAAGAAGGAAAGAACGAGAGAGAAACAACGCAAACGAAATACATTCCGCAGCGAGCGTGGTCTGAAACGATAAAGAATTTCGTAAAAATGGAAGAATCTCGAAGAACGCATGGTGATATGGTCTAGAACGAAACAACTACGGGGTTGTAGGCTATACTTTGATCTTTCTACCGTGTGCCTCGTATCATACTGCATTACTTCTACGGTTCTATGCGTCGGCTAATTCGTTTTTACGTACTGCAATACTCGATGAATGAACGGAACAAGTGCGAGCACCGGCGAGCGAATCGCCAGCGAGCAATTACGGCGCCATGCTACCACGACAGACCGCGTGTCGTTTCTTCGTACCCTCCTCAACCGAGGAAACGCTCTGCGTTCTCGTGACGATCGATTCGAAGAGTCGCGTGGACGTTCGGGATCGGCACGATCGTTTACCGATCGCGCTTCGTCCCTCGGCCATTGCCTCGTGGTCTCTTTGATCGTGCATCGGTTACACGCGCCGAGACACGGGAGAACTCGAAATTTACACAGCGAGTCCGCGAATTAACGCGTGCGTTACGGCGACAGCCCGCGAGACTCGACTCTTCAAATTCTGCGTTGCCGGGAAGACAACGGAAAATAGGGGGGGTTGCGAGCGACAGGTCTGGAGCTGAACAAAAGAACAAAAACGCTTCATCTGATTTCCATGCAGCTGTCAGCTTGTGTGACAGCCGGCCGTTAATCACGATTCCACATAACGATTCGTTTCTTTTCTCATATTTTTTTTTTTTTTTTTTTCTTTCGATACTTTACACAGTCTGATTATGTTCTTTTTCTTTTTGCACAGATATATATGTATATATATTTTTCAATCATTTCGACGTGTCTCGTTTTAGCTCTCTTTCCTGTTTGTCTCGTCTGTTCCTTGCAACGTCTCCCCTTCACGTCTCCACCGTGTTTTTTAGCCACCCTTTAAGCCGGCCTACAACTTTCGCTCGTGCCTCCCTCTCGACGCGCGCGCGTTCTCCGCCTCCGATTTTTCTCTCTGTCACGGCCTTTGTGCTCTGCTTTGCCAAGCTCGCGGGAAAAGTCAGTCGCGAAAATAGCACGGAAACAAAAGCGGTCGAAAAAAGGGATACGCTCTTATTACTTTTTCCTTTTCTACCCTGGTCCTCGTGCACTCCGGCGCCCGCTCACCCACCCACCCTCTTCGGCTTCTTCGTCAACCCAGCACCGCCACCGATGGCCGACTGCCTGCCTCGTCTCCGTGTCGTCGAAATTATTTCTGGACTTCGAAAAAGTGGCAACCGTCGCGAGCAGTCGCTTCCTTCCTGCGTTCCGCTCCGCTCCGCGCCGCGACCGCGTTAAAAGCGACGCCGCGCGTGTCGTTAGCCCGCACGCCACCATTCCTCGCGCAATTCCGCTCGCGACCCTCGAGAAGTTCGCGGAAAAACGCGACACACGCGACCGACGTCCGTGGTAGACACGCGACGATGAGAGAGGGGGTCGAGGAAACCTCCGTTCCCCGAGTTCTCAAAAATTTCCGACTTTTCCCGATTTTTCACGACTCCACGATTTTCCATGGAAAAACGAATATTTTTCATATAGGAACGACGTACCTTTTCGCGATTCGATGGCAATTCGTAATTAGCAAGAATTGTAATTCGGTTATCGAAATAATGGAAGGGTACCGAGGGGGTTAATCGAAAGATCGATGAACGATTCAGCGAAGCTCCTTTTTATCCGAAATTACGAATCGTCGCTTGGCAAAGCAGACCCACGGGTAGAATCGGTAGAATTTCCGGCGAAAAACCCATGTCGCGTCCCGGACTTGGCTAAATGACAGTAATGGCTTCGCGGGCGTTCGGTTGTTGGCCGAAGAGCACGTGCGCGCACGCACGCGGTCTGCGTGGTGGCGCCGATGCCACACGGGTAAAAATTCTCTCTTCAGCCTCGTACCCGTCGTTTACCATTGTACCGTACAACCTTGGCAAAAGAGAATGGTGGAAAAAAAAATAGATATATGTCACATACACAGCGTACAAAAAACAAAAACGAGGGGGCAAAAACAAGATGAAAAATAGAATCTGTCCGGGGAAACGCTGCGGAGAGAGTCCGATGAAAACGAAAAAATCGCGAAAAATCATTTTCCCGCTCTTGCGGGTTCCCACGTCGATAGGCGAACACGCGTGTAAACGGAAAAAGCACGCGTTTGGAAAAAGATTACGGCTCGAAGATTACGGTCATTGTGCCAACAGCCAGATCACGCCAGGACTTCCAGTCGAAAATCGTTAATCGAAAGAACTATGTAAGGATACGCAAGGATCGTGTCTTCGACATGGATGACGGGAAGGTGTCATTATTATTTTTTTTTTAATACATCGTCCACATACTCGAGCGTGGAAATCGTATTAGGGATCGCGAGTTGGAGGGTGGCGGTGATTGGAAGACGGGATCGGTCTATGTAACCCAGGTGCACCACGAAAGAGAGTTTCGTTCCCCGTGTCGGTTCTCTTCGTCCCGTTCATCGGATTCTCAATGAATTTTCATTTCTCTCCTCGGGCCCGTTTCTCTCAACTGAAGGCTGCATGGTTGATCAGGCCTTCTTACACTCCTCGTGTCCAACAAAGCGCTCTTTTCAGCCGTTCTCTCTCAGCGTTATTTACAAGTACCACTTTCACAGCGACTCACGATCAAAACGTAAACGCACCAGCGACCAGCCACTCGAGCAGTCTGCTAAACAGGCTCGCGACACCGTTCCTCCGCGATCAATCCAGTCATCCCGGACCATTATACCCTGCACCGTTCTCTCGATCGTTATCGCGGCAAACGAGATAAGAACGACGCGACGACAACGATGGCTATCCCTCGGAACTCCTCGAAGATCGCGTCGGCCCAAGTTCCCGGGCCACCGTTTAATCTCGTCCGTTCATCTGCCCGCGATTACGCCGGATACCATTCGCTCGAGAGCTTTTCCCCGCGTTAAAGCTTTCGCTAATTGCTCGCACGCGAAACTCTCGCTAATTAGCGCGTTTCTCTGCCACGAAACTCGACGAAACTCGGCGAAAGGTCGCTGAATTCACCCGCCGGGGGAGACATCCGCGCAGCTTCTTTATCTTTATCGCGGCATTCAGAAGCGTCGCGGGCGCCGAGAGTCACCCCGCTGCGTGTAACTGGCCACTCTAAGTGGCCGTTTAACCGTCTCTGAAAAAGCCCAGCTCGCACGCACGAGACAACTCCGGGAACCCCCGCGCCCCTTAGTCGAGGGAGAAAAGACAACCCTTTTACTACCTTTTATTAATTTTCCCCGATCCCGTCTCGAGGCTAACTCCCTCGCTAATTACCACCCCCCGTTCTCGTTACGCGAACACGCGACAGCGGGGGGCGCTCGAACGCGCTTGAAATCGGGAACGAACGGATCGATCGATCGTTAAAATTGGCAGACCTTCGAGGAGCAGGCCAATAGAGAGAACAAACTCGATTATAGGAGATTTACGATTCCAAGTAGCCCAGGGAGGGCTTCTCGAATCGTGTCAGACCCGGATCGGAAGTCGGTCGAGCGAGCTGGTCGCTGGCGTGCATCCGGCAACGTGTATCTCACGAGGATCCACCATACATATATATACACATAATATACGTATATATCAAACTGGTATTCGACTATGCTCGTTTAGCTTCGCTTCATCCACGGTATATATATATGTATATATATATTCGTATATTTATATATACACAGTATCAATCATACAGAAGTCTCTATTTAACGAAAGAAAAAAAAAAAAAAAAAAAAAAAAGGGGAGAGTCACCCCGCTGCGTGTAACTGGCCACTCTAAGTGGCCGTTTAACCGTCTCTGAAAAAGCCCAGCTCGCACGCACGAGACAACTCCGGGAACCCCCGCGCCCCTTAGTCGAGGGAGAAAAGACAACCCTTTTACTACCTTTTATTAATTTTCCCCGATCCCGTCTCGAGGCTAACTCCCTCGCTAATTACCACCCCCCGTTCTCGTTACGCGAACACGCGACAGCGGGGGGCGCTCGAACGCGCTTGAAATCGGGAACGAACGGATCGATCGATCGTTAAAATTGGCAGACCTTCGAGGAGCAGGCCAATAGAGAGAACAAACTCGATTATAGGAGATTTACGATTCCAAGTAGCCCAGGGAGGGCTTCTCGAATCGTGTCAGACCCGGATCGGAAGTCGGTCGAGCGAGCTGGTCGCTGGCGTGCATCCGGCAACGTGTATCTCACGAGGATCCACCATACATATATATACACATAATATACGTATATATCAAACTGGTATTCGACTATGCTCGTTTAGCTTCGCTTCATCCACGGTATATATATATGTATATATATATTCGTATATTTATATATACACAGTATCAATCATACAGAAGTCTCTATTTAACGAAAGAAAAAAAAAAAAAAAAAGAAAAAAGAGGGAAGAAGAGAGGGACAGAAAGTATGAGAGAGAGAGAGAGAGAAAGAGAGAGGTAAGAAGCAAGGTGAGAGAGTTGGACAGTAAAAACGAAGACGGTATGCCATGTAGTAAGACGTTGATGAAAGGGGGTGAAACTAAAATACTAGATAAGTGATAGCGAGAGGAAGTAGTAGAAGAGAGAAAGAAAGAATTGGTCGTATAATTGGGAAACGAAACACGGACAGATATGAGAAGAAGAAAGAGAAAACGCAAAAAAGATATGCTTGGTAAAATGGTTTGTTCAAGTACCTCAGCGAGCGAGGTCACGCCGGCTAGAGCTGACTCTCTGTTCGTTCGGTTCGTTCAGGAGGAGACGTAACACGATTGGTAGTAGTAGTGGTAGTAGTAGTGGTAGTAGCGGTAGTAGTAGTAGTGGTAGACGATAGCGGTAGTAGTCGATAGTAGCTGACAGTGGTAGATAGCTGATTCGGTACTGGTAGTGGTAGTAACGTGTACGTATACGCGGCGTAGGGCGCTGGGTCGGCGATCGGCTTGCTCTAACTTGACGGCAGTAAGCAACACGAGAAACAATGTTACACACTTCAAGATCACATATGAAAAGAAAGAATGAATTTTTTTCTACTTTTTCTTATTTTTTTTTTTTTTTTTTTTTTTTTTTGGTTTT